GGTTTTCCAAAATATTTTATTTTTTAATTTGTTTTTACGAAATAGACCAACTTCGGTCGGTTGTTTTTGGCGCAAAAATGCGGGAAACTATTTTAGAATCCCGCGAAATTTATTTATTAAGAAACCGACCGAAATCAGTCGGTTCATATAAAATAAATTAAAATTAATATTCAAAAAACCGACCGAAATCTGGCTGAGGAAGAAATGAGTCTAACTTAGATATGGTCTATTTAAGCTTATGTGACATTATTGTTAGATTTTTTAATTAAATGTAATGCCATGTCATATTTGTTATTGGATATTTTATAGGTTTTGAACTAGAATGACTTTTAAGTTACAAATGTAAAGTTGAGTGACTTTTAAGTGATGAAAAATAAATAGATGACTTTTATGAAATAAATGATAAGTTGGATGACCATGAGTGAAATTAACTCAAAGAGAAGAAGATGCTGAAGAACAATCGAGAAGCAGTCAATTTTCAAAGAACAGGAAATATTAATGAAGTTATTGATTGAGTGAAACGACAGTTTTAACCTTGAGCTAAATTTATAGTTATGCCATTGGTCGACCACACTTGGCTTTTCTATATAAACTAGATAGATTTAGCGCGTGCAAAGCACGGGCCCGACATTTCGCATTTTCGGGCATCTGACGATTTCTTTTTTCTTTTCAATCCTTGAATTGGTTTCAGTCCGGACCAATACATATCATTCAGAATATTGATAATTTTGCAGATACATATTCTAATACGATTGGTCATTGCTTAATTTCAACCAACATAAAATCGTAACCAAGAGATAGCAACTAAGCATGATCCTTAGAACTTGGACTGTAAAATGACTTCAAACTCTCAAACGTGAAGACACAAAAACTTTAAAAGTCCAATACATGCCATGTAAATCAAACGTCTTAAACATTGATATGCAAAAACCGAAGAAGTCTGATGCTTAGGGAAGACGCAGAACGAAGCAAATTATTTATCAATCATAGAAACAACCATTCAAGCTACATCACATATACATGAACTTAGGAAATCAATCTGAATTAAAGTGAACGATGACAAATCATATTTAGCTCTGGATAAAAAAAGAAAGAAAAAGGAACCCACATACTGACAATGACAACTCAAAGTGCACTTAACATTTTCACAATGTTTGAAAAATTACCAAGCGTGGGAGGAATTCGTCCTTCGAAACGGTTATCGTTCAAGTCAAAAATACTTTCCTTAAAAGTCAATCTCCTTTAGTATTTTGTACCGATCACTGTATATTCATACAAAGTCTTGTATATCAACAGCGCATTAACATAAAAATCTTGAAAATTTTCAACATAGAGAAGCAAAATCCTTTAAGCCTTCATCAGAAAGTAGCTTACAATTTTCGCAAAAAGATTAGGTGCACGTATTGAAAGAAATTCCTTCTGAGAATATGTAAATGCAAATTAGAGGCTCATTTGTGCTACTGATCTGTTCCAAAATATATCAAATAAATTGAATTCCGCTAAAAAATATGAATAACCAAATAAATAGACAGAAGATACAAAATTACATAAGTGGAAGGCACCTCTTCAAGTTTTTATGACAGATCTTGCAACATAGAGCAAAATTTCCGAGTCCATCGGATCTAAGTCGAAGACATTCTAATTGGTAAGTCAATAAAGTGGTGAATTCTTATTTGAGCTTCAAGAATCTAATCATTAAGCCAACAATTTATCAAAAGAATCAATATGTTCAGTCACCATGTAAATATATCCAGATTGTCACAACCCGCACGCCCGTGACACAGATACTACATTAGCCAATAACATAATCAAAGAGACTCATGACTGCTAGAATCCTATTTTGACGACATACAACCAAGAAAAGTTATACCTTATTGGCTGCAAGGATCACCTATTCAGTATTTAACACATATCAAGTAATGTAACCTTTTCATTGTGAAAGTACTCATGAATAAGATATAACTATACTTTAGATCAGCATCATAGAGCAAAAATTACATTTTCATGTCCATGTTTATCATTTCTTGCAATTACTGTTTCATCTATGACTATTTCAAGAGTGTCTCTTAAGGTGAGACTTGTTTGAACCATTTAGGAAGCGTCTCTATCTCCACAAATCTCAAATTCTCAGAGATCAAAATGCAAGTAAATGCAATCATGTAGAAAAGTCGCTCTCAAATGATAATATTAGGAAGACTCGACAAAGAAAAAATTGAGTCGTTGTAATATTTTCCAAATCTTCCAGTAGAGAAAACATATACACATAATAAACAAAAAAGATAATTAAAATCCCATTAGATTTTATAAGTACGGAGAAGATAAACAGATAAATTTTCTCAATTAGTAAAATTAGACATCTCTTTGGATCTAGTGTTTTTGACGAATCTTGCTTTTAAGATGAAGTTTTACCCTTCGTGTTTCCTTCTGGCTCCCACGACACTGAACGCAATATTTTTAAGAAGAAACATAAAAAAAGGAAGTCTTTAGTATCTTGAAAGAAGAAATACAAAAATGAAAGTTTCAATTGAAAATACCTTAACAACTTTGGATGGTTAAGGACCAAAAGTAGAAGGAACATCATTTTTTAGTTAGACACATCCACGGAAAGCTAAGATGATCTCCTTGGAACCACTAATAACTGATGAGACTAATCTAGTGTTCGTCTACTAAATACAGGCAATAATAATCCTTAATCAGTAGATATGAATGATAAAATTGAATTATGTCGTTAATATCAAGAAAACTTAAACATTCAAAAGGATGCGAGGCTAGTAATGGAAGGTCAATATCATGGTAATATCTGAAGAATCATCTTTGGTTCCTTAAAGAGCTGTAACAAGATATGTAAGACTATGCTCCGCACAAGTTTGCATATTTAAAACTACTTTCAAGTAGACATATAACTGAAACATTGCTTTGTCGAGAACTATTTGCTCCTTATATATTCATTACTTGAGCTCAATTTCTAGTTAACAACTAAAAAAAGCTCAATTTCTAATTAAGCTTCGATCTAGTATAGAATATCAACTCTGTATAGGATAGAATGCAAGAGGCGAATGTGTCGTACGGAGTATAACAATTAGTTAGAAAACAGAGAGTTCCTAAACTTGAGCTCTAAATAACTACCTGTTTGTTTTTTTTATACCAAAAATTCTATCAGTAACCTCATCAATCTAATCACAACTTTGAGATTAATGATATAGGGCATACATGTGTTGATACATCTGATTTCTTGTTATGATCCAACAAATTCAGTTCCAAGGAAGCATTTCAACTCTCCGAGATCTTTTATCTTGAAATTTTGGTACAACACCTCTTAGCTTCTTCAACCATCTTGTCATGTTCGCGTTATCAGTAAGTTATTGATTGACATATATAAGGACGACAAGTTCACGATCATGTTATTGACATGCCTTTTAGTGAACAAAGTACGGTATAAAAAGTAGATTATTTTTACGACGGTATTTGCATAACTAAGATGACGATTTAAGTAATTAACTCCTCCATCCATGTAAAAAAATAATTCAAAGAGTATAACAATGTTTTTCCATTAAAGTAACAGAGGATTAATTAAACTTTGGCATATTTAAATTGAACAAAAGATAAACATCCATTTTAAATTCACATTCTTCTGTAATCCTTTAAAATTACTAACCACAATATGCCAAGTACAATGAAAAGTTCCAATCTCTGCTTAGGAAAATAAAGAAGACAGGTTGCTCATAGGTTTCAACTATAAGTCCAAATAATTAAATCGAAACTTAATTCATCATTAAGTGATTAATACATGCATCTGTAGTTTGTTTTGTCACCATAAAACAACAGCAGCCATGAAAATTAATCCAGAAAAATGAAAATCGCTAAGAGATCTTAAAATAAAGGAAAAAACAAGACAGGAAAAAAGAAGATGATTTGAGAAAATTTTAAGAGAACCATACCTTGAATCGTAAGACATATGAGAAAATACAGGAGCATAGAGTATTCCTTAATGTCTGAAAAAGGAGAACTGAAAGGATAGTAGGAGACGCCTTAGTTATGTTGGAACAGAAGAAAGAGTTTTGAATACACGCATTGTTAAAAGCACTTTTGTGGCAGAATATAATGACAATTCTGCCCTTGGTCGACCAACTTGCCTTTTCTATATAATAGAAATACTAGTTATGAGGAGTCCGTGCTGAGCCCGGCCCCAAGCTCACTTGAGAAAAAGGTATTATCTTAATTCATTTTAGTGATATCCTATGAGTGTTGGAAAATTATAATGTTCAAATACTTGTGTTAAACTAAAATCAGTTTCAGTGGCACTCAAAATTGATCAAAATGAACAAGTTGTATTAGTCAAATCAAAGGATTACTACTGCAATTACTTCTACACGTCAAAAGTTAACAAGAAAAAACAACATTAATATTGTTATAAAATAAAAGCAACTTAGTAAAACATGAACAAGACATGTTAGTTATGAAATAAAAGCAATTTAGTAAAACATAAACAAGGAATGGAGATAGAGAAAACAAGAGATTTTCTTCTTTAATTGTGTATATTTTCTTATCTATTACAAGGCCTTTATATAGGCATGAAAAGTGAAGAAAAATATGTCATTGAATATGTCATTAAGCATTTGAGAAAATCATGGAGGAAGAACAGACATCCACCAAAATTTAATTTTTCTTATAACAAATATCTAATAAAATCTACACTTTTACCACTTAATAACAGAACATAACTATGTAGAAGCCAGAAGAAAAAAGTTCACAACAATTCATCTTCTTCTTAATGGCTACCTGCTTTATTTTCCAACGCACTTTGACCTTCCAAATACAAATACTTTCCTTAACTCCCTCTTCATTACATACATTTTTTCCTTCAATATCCACGGCCAAAATAATTAAAGAAAAGATGAAAATGACCATATAAACACACAGCCTTCTTCAATATTGCTAAAACTTGTTAAACTAAAAATGTGACAAACTCATAATTTCAACCCAATTGCAATATTTTAACAATTGATTAAAATCAAAAAGTTTTATTAGTCAGATCAAATGATTACTACTACAACTATCACGAATGAATTCACTTTTTTGGTCCCTTCTCTTCCCCTCCCGCCCCATCCCCCCTCCCTTACTCCAAAGAAGGGAAAAAAGTTGGATTCATCACCAATAATTGATTGGATCTCTATTCACTCCTCATGACAATAACAAATACAAACATCAATATTCCCGGTATATCTACATAATCTCTTTGCCTCTTTGATGGAGAAAAATTTTCTGCATAACATTACCTTTCAAGGTGACTAAGTAGGATACCTGCTAGAAATACTAATTGTTATAACATCAACAGCATAATATAAGGTGCTTATGTAAAATATTGAACTAGATGCAAGATACTCACGATCTTTATAGCACTGACTTCGTGAAGTATAAACCCAGTTACATTTTGCCCAAGAAAACCAATAATGAAAAGAATATGTATACAATGATAGTAAAAAGGGTAGACTTAGTCTCAAAAGTCTACTGAATATCAAGAGAAATACTCACATAGAGTAGGGCAAGTTCTGATTCACTTTAGTCAGCAAAGGTCCTTTATATCTGACAGTTTCAGTTTTGGATTTTGCAATAGGTCTTTTCTCAACATTATCAACACAATCATGTCCACTTATATATATGCATCCTAAATAGGAAAAAGCAAAACCAAAATTAGAAGCTTTTTCTACATCCATATGATCTACTAAAGTAGATCGGTATTGACCATATAATAAAAGCAGATCTTGGTCCATGGAGTCCCAAGAAGGTAAGAACTCCAACTTGTCTGATTGCTTCTAGAATGCCGACTACATGGGAACAGATATTATATAGGTTGATTCTAATTCTTGCTGCCCGCTAGATTCCGAGAAATAAAGGGAGGGCTTGACCACAATTTCCCAAGTAAGAGATAAAATCTCACTAATTTTAAATTTCTTTTATAAATAAGAAATTCCCGATGGTCAGTGGCGCACGGCTCGAACCTCATTAGATAATGTCCATGTCCCTCTACCCTTTTCCCCTTAAAATCCGAGCTTTTATCTTCAGCAAGATTCGAACCCGTGACGTACACCTAATGTACACCATGTGTTGTGCTCTTCCTACAAAATCAAAGCCTTTGGGATATGTTTAGATTTTGTGGATATTGAGAAACAGATTTGCAGATGAAAATGGCAGCTGGTATTAGGTATTCCTTAGGTTCTTGGAGATATGGGCTATTAGCATTAATACTTTGACTTACCACTCCATATTTCAGGAATACGCCATGTAAAGACTGTAATTTGTGTTTTAGTTCCGTTAGAGTAGTATCTTCTTCGCAACCTACCAATAGATGAATTCCGACAGCAATGCACCTACATTTACACGATATCACTTTAGTCACATACGGAGATCAGGTCACAAAATGCATTATCTATTTTCTCTTTGGATTAAAATAATGCAGCTTGAAGGTACCATTTGCTTTCACTATTTTCAAATGTCTTTCAGCAATTGTGATTGCCTATCTCCAGCATCATTTGAAGTAACCTAGCAAGAAGAAAAATAAAGTTAAAAGTTTACCGTAGAAAGCTCGACAACAAAAGGCTAACCAACTTCCCATCCTTGTTAAATATAGACATGATAAAAGCAGTTTTCTTGAAGATCCATTTTTATTTTCTCGAAAACCAAATTCCAATCCAACGGAAAAAAATAAAGCAAGACAAAGAATCAGTTGGGGGAGAGGCTGAAACAGATTCCAGGCAATGAGGTAGCTATGGTACACAATAGGTCATAAGTCATTTCTGCACTCATAATTATAGCAATTTACAAACATCTTCATTCTTCTATATTTATCCATTTCGCAAATTCACATTAATGTTCAGCGTTGACTAAAAAGTTAAAATCTCTTAATTTGAATATAAGAGAATTCCTGGCTGTATGTATAATGCCAAGTGAAAATATAAAAGCCAAATAACGTCAAAGAAGACAGTCGAAAGTGCTTATAGAACCCTGCTAACTGCCATAGTAGGAGGCATAACAACCCCCATTTTCATCCGAAATTACTTATAACATTATCAAATCTAACACAATCCAAAATTTGGCAAAGTTAATATGACTATCAAATATGAGGCGAGATAAGATTTCAGAAGTTATCTGATATATTGGTGTTGAAACTCTTAACTGTTGTATTGAAAGTATTATTCAATAACCTTATATTGGGTTGACGGATAAGACAAAGAAGTTGAAAGTGCATATTATTCAGATGACAAGGAATCGCATTTGCAAATACTATCAGTTAGTGGAAACCATATGTCTGTTTAATAATGCAATCAATTAATGGTCGAGTAAAGATACCAAAGAAATAAAATAGAAAGCAAAAATGCAGCTCATTTATAATTCTCAGAGACACCAATAATGCTAACAGGCACAGAAAGCCAATTAAATAGATAAAAGAAACAAGTGGTTTACCTCATACAATCATGTATCCACAACTATAATATCTAAGCTTCCATGAGCAAAGTTGAATTGCTTAAAGTAGTGATTCATCCCTCGCCCTTTGAGAGCTCGAGTAGAGTACCTACAAGTTGAGGATGACTGAAGGGAGACCGCAAAAACAATTCATTTCAAATGACGAAATCCAGATCTAAAAGGAGAAAAGTTAGTCCAAGAGAACAAACTGTTTATTCATAGAGGAGCATACCATAGAATCTTCGTAGAACTAAAATGCCGAGTAGCCTGCCAAGGAAGGGGTCGGTGGAGGTGTAAGATTATCATTTCGTCAAATTGTAATTGGCAATTTAATATGGATACCTTTTTGTCAGATAAAAGTTATGAACATATATTTCTGTAGTAAGTTCACAAGCCAAACATCTTTTGCACAATAAGAGAAGTTAACAAGACATGTCTCCTAATATAAGTTCTTGCATAGTTAAACAACTTGGTTCACCAAAAGCTACATTTCATCTTCTAATACTTTCTATCTTGCTTATAATATTTTCCATTTGCACTTTGAGAACCAAAGTTTAGAATGCTCTAAGCCAAAATGAAGGTACAAATATACAAGCACATCATATAAGTGAATGCAATATCATATTCAATCAGTAAAAGACCAAAACAATAGTTCTTGTATGCATGTCTTATTCATTTGCCAAAAAAATTGCACCTTCAAGCTGGTTCACACAATATGGAGACAAACTTTAAAGCAACAATTTTGGAAGAAGAACACTTTACGATTAAGCAAACTTTGAAGCAGCCAGAACTAATGAGTACTCGTGATGGTCAACCCTCCTCGTGTTATTCAGTGGTTTCCGACATCCCTGATGGATCTTGCTGTCCAATTTCACTCGACTTGATGAGGGACCCTGTGATAGTAGCATCAGGCCATACTTGTGATCGAAATTCAATCGCTCAGTGGATAAATTCAGGGCACCACACTTGTCCAAAAAGTGGTCAGAGGATTATACATGTGGCTCTCATTCCCAACTATGCACTGAAAAGTCTATTCCATCAATGGTGCCAAGAGAACAACATCCCAACAACAGAACCTATATTATCTTCTTCAGATTCAGAAGGTAGCAGCAGCAGTAAGATTAAGAAATGTGACAAGGCGATTGACTACATTTCTGGTACTAAAGCTGCCACATATGCTGTGAAAATGACAACAGAGTTTTTAGTTAGAAAACTGGCAACATGATCTCCAGATATACAGAGACATGCAACATATGAGCTAAGATTGCTCGCGAAAACTGGAATGGACAATCGCAGAATCATAGCTGAGTCTAGAGCTATTCCATTTCCGGTGACTCTGCTTGGTTCCCGTGATACAAGAATCCGGGAGAATGCAGTCACAACATTTCTCAACCTTTCAATACATGAGAATAACAAGATCCTCATTATGTCTGCTGGTGTTATCGACAACTTAATTGAAGTTCTCCAATGTGTGAAAACAATGGAAGCAAGAGAAAATGCAACAACATCAATATTCAGCTTGTCTGTAATCGACGAATACAAAGTAATCATAGGGGCACATACAAGCATCTCCTTGCAAACTATTCTTCTTTTTCGGTCTCATTGTTAATTTTGTAAGCACATATAAGCATATTAGGAGCTGATAAATCTGCTGCTACGATCATGTCATCTAATGCAGTTACACGACCATACCAATCTTCTGTATTCTAAAAGTTAAATTTCTTTCTTCGCAATGACCTAACCAATCTGTCATGTGATAATAATCTTCCTCCAGGTAACATATATCCCAACGCTAACCGAAATTAAATAAAATAAATTATCGTAGCCTACACACACAAAGACAACTCGACCTCTTCAAAATTTCAGCAGCCAGAGTCTCAAATCTTTCCAACCTCACCAACTCCCAATTCATTTCCCGCCACCCCCTTTAAGTCAGCATCCATCTCTAACAATTCCGCGACATAGAGTCTCTTCCTCTTTTTCGATGTGCCTGTCTTTCTTCTCTTTACTTCTCTTCGTTCATCCAATTTCCTAAACCTTAATCCAAATAAAACTCCAGAGAACCCAATAAAAATATGTCACGCAATTGGTTATCGCTTTTTAAATATTAAAACCAAAAAAATGCACCTCATCCTGAATTCATTTATAGTATCGAATTGCCATGAATCCAATGTCATCTTTAACTAACAACTTAATTCATATATATAGTTCGTTATATGTCAGTTAATAAGCCAATTAGAGCCATAAGATTTATCAAGATGAAACAGAAAGCTAACTGAAAGAACCAAGTCAAACTTGTCATCAGAGTAGCACACACCAAACGAACATGACATTCCAACAAAAGCAAGTCTCCTTCTCAACAGAACTCGTAATTTTACGTTTCAGCAGCGCCAACACGGGGAACAACATGAGTAAGAGAAATAAATCACCCAGCAGCCATAAAAAGAAAATCGAACTGCGCAAAACAGAGTGAGGAAGAGGATGAGCAGACAAACAGTGAGTCCAACTTCGTTGGCAGCCACGTTTTACCAGACCTACACTCGTCGCTCTTTGAAGATACATATCCAGCACTGACTCCAATCCTATGAGAATGAACTCAACCCAAATTACATAGCTTTAATTCCAAACCTAAAAGGAAAAACAAAGAGGGAACAACAGACACAAGGGAAGATTCAAGAATTGCATACCACGTGTTTGACAAAGCAAAGTACACCCCAACACCTGATAGACGCGGCAAATAGCCAATCACAAATGGTCATCTTCTCCAGTCTTGCTTTGTTGTGAAGAGTTATAGTGGAAGCAACTTCGTCTTGGGTTCAAATCAACCAGACCTCTCGAATACCAAAAGAAACCCAGGAACAAAATCAACAGCCCATAATATGCATCTTTAATTCCAAACTTAGGGAGAAAACGAAGTGGAATAGAGAGATCTATACCCAAAGAATCTAAAGAGAGAAAAAGAGGAGAGAAAGAGAGAGAGAGCGCACGGTGTGAGATGAGAAACTGAAGACCGTGATGGCGCTTACGTGTTGAACAAAAGAGATGTACACCACAACAACTTTAAGCCACTTAGAGGGAAGATTTCCGAAAATAAGCCCGAAGCATGGATGAAAATTTCCAAAAATAACCCTGAAGCAGGACGACGAAGAGCAGCTCAACTCCCGTTTCTAAATAAGTAAATAGTTAAAACAAAGAAAGGGTCAGGTTTCACATGGATCATTAGGACACAGGCAGACGGAAATCAGTTTTCAAAAATTTGCAGGTGAAAGGAACTGTAAAATCCTTATCGTGGGTCTGCTTGACTGCGTCAATAAGTATATCTTAGGGAAAAATTAGAATGTATGGGCTTTTCTAGCACGTGTTGTTTGGAATTTTGGATAATACTCATAAAAGAATAATTCCTATATATTTTTCTAATTTTGTCAATGCGACAGATATTTTCACGGTTCGAGGATATCAAGGTAGTACGCCACGCACGTAAATTTTCAAAGTACGAATATTCCAAGCTGGTTCTTTTTCCCTTTCATTTTTTTTAATGTTGAGAAAGTATACCTCTTAGATATGCTTCTTTTAGATAATCGTAACAAACTTCAATTTACTTATTTCTATATATATGAAAGTTTATTTTGTGTTTTCTTTTTGTTATGCCTTAATGGTAGCAAAACTTTCGGGAAAAAGAGGAAAACCAAACTACTTTATTTTCATTACTCTATTTGCCTTGAGCATATTAATATACAATTTGGTCTATTATAAATATAATTTGCAACATTTTTACCCACACTGAAGTATATTGCTTATATTTCTTATTACTCTAATTATCACTAATCAAGTTCCACCAAATGTTTTGCAATAATTCATCGTTCTTGTGCGTTGCAAAATATTGCTTATGCATCAAATAAAGTGATCTCTCGTACAGAAAAGTAATTATTTCTCTAAGCATATGCGTAAGGAAAATTTTGATGTCTCTATTGAAGCTCAACATTTTGCTTTTTGCCTATTGATAAGTTATGTGCCTTTGTATTTTGATGATTTAACAAATTTCATATGAGAACTAAATAGGGAACTTGTTACACAGCCTCAAAGTGCTCAGAACAACAAGTCACATGTCTGACACAAGTTTCAATAATATCAGTCAAAGAAACAGCAGAGGCAACAGATGGCTATCAGCTCCTCCGATCACAGTACAAATCTACTCTTTACAGTTGTTAAAGTTGCTCTATTGTTGCATTGCACATGCAACAGTGCATCAGTCACTTTATGGAGCATGCTACGTACCAGATACTTGTTTACATCATTCCAATGACCTCACTTATATATTACCAACATGAGGCGATGGAAAACAGACACTTGCAAACTCTAAAACATTAATTCTCTCTCAAGTGTGATACTGCTTTCATTGACCCTAAGGCTTGAAGAACAAAGTAGTAACAGAACAAAGGACCAAATCCCAGCACTAAGTTTATCGTGTGTCCTTAGTATTTATTGTATCTTTGTTAATGTTATTCACTTGTAATTCCTACTTAGCTTAGTTAGAAGCATCTTGTAGGATATCTTCTGGAAACCATAAACTGTGTGTTTGTGTTTGGCTAGAGTTAGTCAAAGTAGTGAGCTTTGTAATAGAGTTATTACAAAGAGGCTTGCAATAGAGTTATTGCAAGTAGGTGAGGGATTAAGGGTTCAATTCCTAGGTTATAATCTAAAGGTGCTCAGTTAGTGAAGTTGAAATCCTACGAGTGTAGGTCGTGATTTTTAATCCCATGAGCTGAGAGTTTTCCATGTAAAATAATGTTATGTCATTTACTTACTGTTGTGTGTGTGTGTGTGTGTGTTATGTGAGAACTGATAGAGAACTAGGTTCTCTATATAGTTTGGTGCACTCTTAGTTTACATCAATTGGTATCATAACAGGTTCTTTCTATAAGCCTAACACCTAGAAAGGATCCACATGGCTGCTCCACCATATTTTGAAGAAGGCCAATCAATCTACAGACTACCAAGATTTAATGGACAATACTATGGCCGGTGGAAGACAAGAATGCATGATTTTATCATGGCTGAAGATTCAGAGCTTTGGATGCCATTTGTGATGGACCCTTCGTCCCTATGAAGACCAATGGGGAGACATCAGTGACAGTCCCAAAGACAAGGAAAGAGTACAACGATGCAGACCACAAAGCTATAGAGAAAACCTTCCGAGCAAAGAAGATCCTCGTATGTGGTATTGGACCAAACGAGTATAACAGAATCTCAACTTGTCAATCTGCCAAAGAGATCTGGGAGGCTCTCCAAACTGCATATGAAGGAACAACTCAAATCAAGCAGTCAAAGATTGACATGCTCACTACTAAGTATGAACTCTTCAAGAAGAAGGATGATGATCCATTCAGGACATGCATACTTGCTTCACGTCCATCATCAATGAACTCTATTCTCTAGGAGATATCATTCCAAGGAACAAACTAGCCAGGAAATACTCAGTGTATTACCTGGTTCTTGGGAGAGTAAAGTCAATGCCATCATAAAGGCAAAAGATCTGCAAAAGCTGACGATTGATGAACTCATTGGAAATCTGAAGACCTACAAAATCAAGAAAAAAAGGACCATGAAAGAAGAGAACCCCAAAAGGAGAAGAACATGGTTCTGAAGGCAGACAATAGTGACTCAAGTGGTGATAATATTGACAAGAAGGTTTTAGAAAATGGTTCGCAGAAATAGGGGTATTCTGAAAAAGGGCAGTTCTAGCAGACCATAGGGCTATGATTGCTGTCACAAATGCAGGAAGCTAGGACATTTCATCAAAGATTTCCTCTCCACAAGCAAGACCAGTACAAGCACAACATAGATAAGATGACCAAGAGGAACCAAGTTCCTGACAGGAAATTCAAGAGAAAAGATGTCGCTGATAATGTTGTGAAACAAACTCTTGTTGCATGGGGAGATTCCTCTAGTGAATCTGAGGGTGATGATAAATAAGGCGATACCTCCATAATGGACGTTAAAAGAGAAGCAACTGAATATGACTCCATATTTGTCCTGATAGCAAAATCTGACGAGGATGAAGATGAGGTAAACTTTCTAAACGTTCAAAGAAATTTGAAGTCTTACTCTCAAAATAAGCTTGTATCCTTAGAAAATTTTCTAATTGATGCTTACCATAACCTTATAAATGATAAAAATATTTTAACTATGCAATTAGGAGAGGTGGAACACGCGAGAGATGATTTACTAGACGTAGTTGTTGATTTAAAAGAAACCATTGAGGATTTAAAGAATCAAAAGGATGCTCTAACTGAGAAAATTCAAAAGGTAGAACATGAGAGAGATGACTTGTTGGTAGTAGTTGTGGATCTAAGGGAAACATTAGAGGAATTAAAAGGGGAAAACAGTTCTAGAAATGCTTTAAAAGGTAAGGAAGTGGCGAGTGAGGCACACCTTAAACTTGAAAATGAGCTCAAAATAGTAAAATTGAGTTTGTGTGCTTAACTTGAAAGAAATAGACAATTTTAGAAAGATATAAGGAGGGTTAAAAATGACCTAGATAAATCTCTAAAGTGGACCTGGTCCTATGATACAATCACCTATATGTATAAAAGTAACGGGGAACAGGCAGGGAATTTAGTTCCCAAAAAAAGGCTCCTTACAACCCACATAGCAAGTATGTTATTGTCCCTGATAACTGGCTTTGCACTCATTGTGGCAACATTGGGCATTTTAAAGACTCCTATAAAGCTAGATTTCATTCCCAACAGAAAAATAAAGTTTTTTGTTGAAAACGTACCTACTGCTAAGGAACCTGGTCCCTACAATAAAAAAAATATGTGATGCCTTCTTGGACAAAAAAGAGTTTAATTTGCCCTTTTCCTCATTACAAGGGACCAAAACTTGTTTGGGTTCCCAAGTCTAATCTCTGCTTTCCTTGTGTAGGGAGCAGTGAAAGGAAGCGGCCAAAGATGGTATATGGATAGTGGCTGATCTAAACATATGACTGGAAGTACTAATGATTTCCTTTCACTCAAAGCCCTGCAAGGTGGGAGTGTGACCTTTGGCAATGGAAAAAAGGGATACATTCTAGGAGTTGGAAGAGTTGGGAAGATACTCACTCACTCAATTGAGAATGTGTATTATGTGAATGGCTTGAAGTACAACATGTTGAATGTCTCTCAAATCTGCGACAAAGAAAATAAAGTGGAGTTCTTATCAAAGTCTTCCACTGTCACAAATCTTGTGATTGGTGAAGTGGTTCTAATGGCAAAAAAGATTCAAAAACATTTACGTCGCTGACTTTGAGTCCTTAAAAAGTGGGGATCTTACTTGTTTGAGTGTTGTTGATGATGGTGCTGAACTGTGGCACAAAAAATTGGGACATGCAAGATTCTCCTTGCTGAACAAGCTAGTTAAGAAGGACCTAGTCCATGGGCTGCCAAAGTCAAGGTTCAAGGATCTCAAAGTGTGTGATGTATGTGGGAAAGGAAAGCAAGTCAGGTCCTCCTTCAAGTGATAAAAAAGAAGTAAGCACCTCAAGGCCACTGATCTTACCCGTATGGATTTGTGTGGACCTATGAGGGTACCCAGCAGAGTAGGAAAACAAATACATTTTTGTCATTGTAGATGACTGATAACTAGGGTTTTAGCCTATTATTTGCTCTCTTTTGCTTAGGTTTTGGGTCAAAAATGCGTAAAGGTATTTCCGAAAACTAACTTAATGTGCTTGCTTGCAGGGTTTGGTCAAAATGAGGCAAAGAAGCCATAATCACTCATAAAGGAGTCAAACTTGCACGAATCCAAGATTGAGACTGGAGAGCTGAGAGCGGCAGAAAAGCGCGGCCGCATAAGGACCACTGCTGAGGCGGCCACTATTACGCGGTCCGCAAAAGTAGATTCAGAGAAGCTGCTTTGAGTACTAAAATCACCGATGACCGCGTTGAAAAGGCGTGGCAGCGAAATCTTTGGCGCGACCACGAAGGAAATTCCACTGAGAGCGCATCTTGAGGTTCAGAGACCCTGCAAGTCGGGCTTAACTGAAGAACGCGGTCCGCGTCTAAATTACGCGGCCGCGATGGAAGCACACGCGAACGCAGTTGAAATTACGCGGTCCACAAAACTAAGCCCAATCCAAAACTAGTATTAAAGAAACGCAGACGGCGCTCATTATTATGCAACCGCGAAAGCTCAAGCGCGGACGCGGTCAGAATTATGCGTCCACGAATCCTCCGCATGAGCATTTTTGTCCTNAGTATAAAATTAGAATAGAAT